TAAATGTCTATTAGGTTTTCTTGGTCCAGATCTGAGTTCAAGTCCTGGATATCCATGCTAATTTTCTGTCTTGTTGATCTGTCTAATATTGACAGTGGTAGAGTGTTAAAGTCACCTACTATTATTGTGTGGGAGTCTAAGTCTCTTTGTAGGTCGTTAAGAACTTACTTTATGTATCTGGGTGCTCCTGTATTCAGTGCATATATATTTAGGATCATTAGCTCTTCTTGTTCCATTGATCCTTTTACCATTATGTAATGCCCTTCTTTGTCTCATTTGATCTTTGTTGATTTAAAGTTTTTATCAGATACTGAGATTGCAACTCCTGCTTTTTTTTGCTCTCCATTTGCTTGGTAAATCTTCCTCCATCCCTTTATTTTGAGCCTTTGTGTATCCTTGCATGTGAGATGGGTTTCCTGGATACAGCACACCGATGAGTTTGACTTTTTATCCAATTTGCCAGTCTGTGTCTTTTGATTGGGGCATTTAGCCCATTTATATTTAAGGTTAATATGGTTATGTGTGAATTTGATCCTGCCATTTTGATGCTGGCTGGTTGTTTTGCCCATTAGTTGATGCAGTTTCTTCATTGCTTTGATGCTGTTTACCATTTGGTACGTTTTTGGAGTAGCTGGTACTGGTTTTCCTTTATATGTTTAGTGCTTCTTTCAGGAGCTCTTGTTAGGCAGGCCTGGTGGTGAGGAAATCTCTCAGCAATTATTTGTTCATAAAAGATTTTATTTCTCCTTTGCTTATGAAGCTTAGTTTGGCTGGACATGCAATTCTGGGTTGAAAGTTCTTTTCTTTAAGGATGTTGAAAATTGGTCCCCACTCTCTTCTGGCTTGCAGGGTTTCTGTCGAGAGATCCACTGTGAGTCTGATGGCCTTCCCTTTGTGGGTAACACGACCTTTCTCTGGATGCCCTTAGCATTTTTTCATTTCAACCCTGGTGAAACTGACAATTATGTGCCTTGGGGTTGCTCTTCTTGAGGAATAGCTTTGTGATGTTCTCTGTATGTCCTGGACTTGAATATTGGCCTGCCTTATTAGGTTGGGGAAGTTTTCCTGGATAATATCCTGAAGAATGTTTTCCAGCTGTGATTCATTCTCTCCGTCACATTCAAGTACACCTATCAAACATTGATTAGGTCTTTTCACATAACCCCATATTTCTTGGAGGCTTTGTTTTTACTCTGTTTTCTTTTTACTCTGTTTTCTCTAATCTTGCCTTCTCATTTTATTTCATTGAGTTGATCTTCAATCTCCGAGATCCTTTCTTCTGCTTGGTCAGTTCAGCTATTGAAACTTGTGTATGCTTTGCGAAGTTCTCGTGTTGCATTTTTCACCTCCATTAATTCATTTATATTCTTCTCTAAGGTGTTTATTCTCATTAGCATTTTGTCAAACCTTTTTTCAAGGTTCTTAGTTTCTTTGTATTGGGTTAGAAGTTAAAATTCTCTTTAACTCAGAGAAGTTTGTTATTACCCACTTTCCGAAGCCTCTTTCTGTCAATTCATCAGACTCATTCTCCATCCAGCCTTGTTCCCTTGCTGGTGAGGAGTTGTGATCCCTTGGAGGTGGAGAGGCCTTCTGGTTTGGGGTGTTTTTATCATTTTTGCGCTGGTTTCTTCCCATCTTTGTGAATTTATCTACCTGTGGTCTTTGTAGTTGGTGACTTTCGGATGGGGTCTCGGAGTGGATGTCCTTTTTGTTGATGATGAAGTTATTTCTTTCTGTATTTTAGTTTTCCTTCTAACAGTCAGGCCCCTCTGCTGTAGGACTGCTGGAGGTCCACTCCAGACCCTGCTTGCCTGGAGATCACCTGCAGCGGCCTCTGCGTTCTCACTGGGAACTGCACTCCAAAGCTGTTGCTATTCGGCCATCTTGGATCCAGATCGCAATTCATACTTTAGAGTTTCTTCTCAAATTATTTTTTTGTCCCATGATATGAAAATGATACTTATTCCCTATTAAGGAGGAAGAAGGAGGCCATGATGTAAGGGAAGTCTATGCTGAGAAAGAAGAACAGTTGCCCCTTCTACCCTGAAAGAAACTGAGTCATTCAGAATATACATTCAAACTGGAAAGCTTGTGATGCAGGAAGTAGGAAGCTAACACTCTCTGCCCTTCCCATCCAAGGAGGTATGGAGAAATTTTAAGAAAGATCAGACCTCTCATAGAAAATAAGGAAACAGCTAATTTTCTCTGTAGACCTAAGTGCAATGTGAGTCAATTTGTGACTGAGATGCACTTTCTTCTCTTTTTCCTAGTCAGAATGAAATAAGCTACTCGCCCTTCTAGTTGAGCATAGGTTTATCTCTCTCCAGCTTATTTATTATAAGAAATAAAAGGGAGTAGACTAAATGCTATGGAGAGTTTTTTTATGTCTTTATTTACTTCAATCAAGATGAACCGCAAGGGGAAGGGACCAAGTGAAAACATCCAGATACCTATGCCTGTGGATTCTTAGGGAGGATGCTCAGAAAGATTATCCTAAAGTATCTTTACTTATTTCCCTAAGTTGTGTATGGCAGTCAATCATGTGAGTAGATACTGAGGTATTGATAGGAGCAGGAGGCTTGCTAAGACCTAGGGTCCAAATAAAGCGGTTGTCATATGTAAACTGTCAGGCAAATGCCCTGGACTGTGGATTGTAGTCATGGCCACTTGCATGTCCTCTAAAAGGTCAAATGAAACCATCTACACCTTGATGGTCAACAGTCCAGGAAGCATATTTGTCTGGATGCCCTGAGAAGAGCTCAGAAGAAACTAATGAGATTCAAGAGAATGCTACATGAGTTCTGATCATTTGTCTTCTCTGTTGACATGAGATTCAACTTGAAAAAGAGCAAGGGTAGTTGGCAAGAGGAGAAAGGGGGAGTGGAAATCTGTAATTCAGAGAATTTGCCCAAAAGAAACTGAGTCATTCAGAATATACATTCAAACTGGAAAGCTTGTGATGCAGGAAGTAGGAAGCTAACACTCTCTGCCCTTCCCATCCAAGGAGGTATGGAGAAATTTTAAGAAAGATCAGACCTCTCATAGAAAATAAGGAAACAGCTAATTTTCTCTGTAGACCTAAGTGCAATGTGAGTCAATTTGTGACTGAGATGCACTTTCTTCTCTTTTTCCTAGTCAGAATGAAATAAGCTACTCGCCCTTCTAGTTGAGCATAGGTTTATCTCTCTCCAGCTATTCTCCTGTGCTCTTCCCTCATTTCCCTTTTCCTCTCTAGTGCACTCAGCAGGTGCCCCCGGGCCACAACTCCACCTGGCTGAAGCAAATTTCTGTGCTTGTTCTCACCACTGGGAATTTCCACACAAAGTTTTATGATCAAGTTTTATTAAGATAGGCCTTCCATGAGGACTTCAGTGCTTCTGTTTCCACCACCTTGATTACCCTCCACCTCTTTCCTTTCACCGCCTGAGTGACTTCTACCTGTCCTTAATGAATCAACTTGAACTTGTCTTTTATTCCACAGTCTGAGTCAGAGGCCAGTCCTATGGGCTCTCAAATTCCCCCTACCCATGTCCAGCTTCCTCCCTCTAACCATGCTGCATGTGTTCACACACTTCTGTTTCCCTCACTAGACTGTGAGCTCCTAGATTCCTAGTCCATGTTTCAGTTGCTTTTTCTCAGCACTGAATTAATAGAAGATATTTATTTTGGTGCTGAGTGTTTATAACTTGTGATTCTGTCTCATATTTTGCTACTTTGTATGTTTTACTCATTCAGAAACATGTTGAGTACCTACTACAGGTCTGATATGAAACAAAACTCAATCCTTTAAGTTGAGGAGATTATAATTCTATAAAGCAGATAAATAAACCTAATGGAAATACAATATGTTCAGTACTTTGAGAAAAAAAGTATTGTGGGAGTAGAACAGACAAAATCCTAACTTTCATAAAGGATTAAGTCAGCTTTATAGAGAGGATATACTTTATTTGAATCTCCAAAATTGAGCCATTCTGCAAGAAAAGTATGGGTGGGGTGGGGAATCATTGAATGGCATACAAAAAGCAAGAAAATACAATTCAGGTTTGTATGTTTAACAGTTATTCAATCCAAGAGTTGAAAGGATAGGTATAGGTTGAATCAACACTTTAGCTGTATGTACTAGCTGGAACCTAGGAGATGTTTGAGTTACAACCTCATGTCCTAGACCTAAGCTTTCATTGTCAACTTCATATCTAGGTAAAACTATAGACTTAATTATTCTTTTTAGACTGCCAATGTCTTTCATTTACCCATGCCATCATAGAGTAGAAAGTGTTTTCAGTATCACCTCTTCCAATTTCCCTGACAATGTGGAATCTTTCCTAGAATATCCATGTGAGGAGGTCATCCTATAGACTGGCCCACATTCTTGCAGTGGTTCCTTTCAAGTAAAACGCTAAGGAAAAACATGTACTGCTTGCTCTCAAAGCCTTCTTTAATCATATACAATGGTGTTAAAACAAATGAAGATTATATCTGAAGCATATCTGGATTTCCTAACACCTTTGGTTTGAGGAATTGAATAATAGGAAAAAGGGGAGTGAAGGAAATGGTGATTTTTTTTGTGCATGAAACTCTTGAATATTCATGTGCATGACATCAGAACAATGTCCTGCTTCTCTATTTGTCTCTCTCTCTCTCTCTCACTCCACCTCTGTGTGTGTGTGTGTGTGTGTGTGTGTGTGTGTGTGTGTCTATCTATTTGCATAAACTATACTATTTCTCTTTCACTGGTTAAGTAAATTTCTGCATCTTCTGCACTTGGATGTAACTGGCATTTACTCATGCATTATGAATGAGTGAATAAATTCAATAAATATTCATTGAGCATCTCTAATGAAATCTTAACTATAAAAGTAAAGAATGGACTATAGGAATACAGAATATAGACATCAAAAAATCTATTATCTAAAGATATTTACAGTGAAGGCAAAGTAATATAAGTAAGACAAGAAGGATATCATTAATATACATTTATTTAAAAATACATTTTTTTTCAGATACCAAATGAAAGTTAAAGAACCTAAGTGTTTCCAAGATAAGAGAGACAAGGAGCCTCCCGTGAGCTATATGAAGTCGAAGGAAAGATCATGGAGGTAAGGTAAGGTGAGGTGGGGGAATGTGTCCTGACCTGAGAACTGATAAACAGGGGTGGTGAATGTTTACCTTTGCCAGTAAGAGAAGGAGATGTAATTAGTTAAAGGCAAACAGAGGGCTTCCAAGGAGCCAACAATGTTCTCGTTTTTAAATAAGGTGTTAGTCACAAGAGTATTCTTTTTATGATATCTCAATAGGCTGTTCATTTGTTTTATTAAATTTTCTGTATATGTTGAGTTTTACAATACATTTGTTTTGAAAGAGATTAATGTGTGAAATAGACTATGTTCATTAAAAATGCTGTATTTGCTAAGCCTTCACTATGATACTGGGAAGTCGCAGGTGAGTAAGACATAGTCATGGCTCTCAGGAAGTTCCCATTCTTCACACCAGAAGGAGAAGGGGGGGTGACTGGCGATGAGCCCAGAAAGGTAGATGGAGACAGGGTCATGAACACTGAATACGCAATGCCAAGGTACTTCAACATTTTCCAATACGTAACAGCAAGCCACTGATGGGTTTTGAGCAGATTTTTGACATGAGATTTTCATTTTGGAATGACAACCTTGGTTATTACATAAAATGTGGGTTGCGGAAATGAGATAAAACTTGGAGTACAACACTTGATAAAGTATTATGTTATTTTCACTTTCTGAAATACGTGTTTTCCTTCCCCAGTGAGTTTTAAGTTGCTGAACAGTTGTGTCACAATCATGTTTTCCAGAATTGTACATAATTCTTGTCATAGAAACACAATAAATACAGTGTAGCCTCTTTAATCGTTTTTGTTAGAATAAGAGTAATAAAATAGAAGGATTGGTGGAATGAATTAATAGACTGATGAATTTTCTTAATGTCATAAGCTTCATAAAACCTGCTGAGTTGCACCCAATTTTAACAATATTATGAAGTCAGCTCCTAAATTTTGATTTGCTTCTGAATGCATTTGTCCCATCTTCATCTTCAATCTCTTTCACTATACCAGGAAAATGTAAAGAGCTATTTGTAGCAAATAAGCTCTCAGTCTGCATATATTGCCATAAAAAATATAATTGCAAGTTTAAGGAAGGGGGGTGGGAAGAGCTCTAGAATTTGTCTGTGTGTGGGAGCTTGATTACAAGGTTACAGTCAAGAGTCACTGCCCAGAACGTGGCTTTGAGAAAACATTGATGGGAAAGAAGAAAGACAAGAGCCAAGGACCAGAAATCATGTTATTGGAGTCAACAGTTCCTGAACTTGATAATGCTTGCATCATAGCTACAGGGAAATATGAGAATATGAGCTATTTGTAGAATTTTGTTTTCCATGTTCTGACAAAAACCCTTCCCTTTTTATTTTTCTTAAGGGTGTTTTCTCTATTTCTTTTAAGTCAACAGTTTTGGGTGGAAAATGCACTAGAACAGTAAAGGAGGAAGGAAACACCAGAAAACCTCAGCGGTGAAAACAGGAGTTCCAGTTTTTACAGGAATTTTGTGTGGCTGTGTACATGTGTGTGCATGTGTTTCTGAGATTGGAGTAGAGAAGAGAGAGGGGTAGTGCAGAGGACTTTAGGCTTCTTTGTTAATTTTCAACATTTCCTGGATAGAGAAAAACTTCAGGAAGGACCTAAGAAAACATGAAAGGTTAAGTGCAAGTTAGAGACCAATCTGAAAAGCTATGATACCCTTGCTTTTTTAAAACAGTGAGAAAATAAAGGTCAGCCAGTGATCAGGTTTGATGGCATTTTATATCCACCTCTATCAGTGAACTCCATGATGGAAATTTCTCTGGAACTTTATCTAGAACAAAGAAAAGCAGATTCTATAAGGGAAAAAGAAATCTTTCTAAGCAGTTCTACTCCTAACATTCTCAGGTCCGGTTTTGAGAAAAGAAATGAGGACCCGTGTTCCATACTTTAAATATTTTAAAGTTATAAGGCAAGCAAAGAGGCTGTTAAATAAAATGGTTTGTCATGTTACATTGATTATAATAGTTTAGAAGAAAGTAATGAGCCATAAACACATGTGTGTGGGCAAGCCATCCTGCCTATCCAGGCTCTGTCTGTATCTCTCCAACAGAAACCCTGTGGCCATCCCTTGGGCCTAGAGGCAGGTCTTCTTTCAGGAACACAGGCCTGGGGAAAAGGCCCATGCAGGCCCTGGAAGACGGACTGGGACCATTTGGACAGAGAGTTCTGTATACCTGGAGAGAGGTCTCCAAGTGGGAGATCCCAGGCTCTGGATAGGCATGCCCCTTAGCCTCCTGTACTCCTCACTCGTGAGTTTATCTGTTTATCTATCTATTTGTCTTTCTCCTTCGGTTAAGTTAGTCTAAACCATCTTTTCTAAGACTGGACCTAGACTCACCTGGTGTGTGTAATGCCACATTGTACTCACTGCATAAATGATAGCATGTACTGGTTGCTGAACTACAAGTTTAAAAAAGCACTTAGCTTCATTTGATAGTGAATTAATAAGGAATTTTTGAGGCTTCTCTGAGACCTAGATTAGTGAATAGTGTATAATCCGTTCGATTTTTTTCAAATCAAACCAATAGTCAAGATAGGACAGCCTATGCTACAACAAACAAAATGTCAATCACTTAACATTAGAAAAACTTAAGTATGACTCATACAGATGCCACTGCAGGTGTTGAACCCTCTTCAGGACCACTGTTCTCCATTCCAGGATTCAAGAATCTACGTTGTTTCCTTCTCTGCCATCTTAGAAGGAAGCCTCCATATTTGCTGAGGCAAAGGAAGGGAAGGAGAAAGAGTCACACACTGGCAGTTAAATGCTGCAGACCAGAAGGTGACATTTGTCATTTCTTTTTTTTTTTTTTAATTGCATTTCAGGTTTTGGGGTACATGTGAAGAACATGCAAGATTGTTGCATAGGTACACACGTGGCAGTGTGATTTGCTGCCTTCCTCCCCTTCACCTATATCTGGCATTTCTCCCCATGCTCTCTCTCCCCAAATCCCCACCCCCCCACTGTCCCTCCCCTATTTCCCCCCAACAGACCCCAGTGTGTAGTGCTCCCCTCCCTGTGTCCATGTGTTCTCATTGTTCAACACTCACCTATTTCTGTGGCTGCTATAACAGATTATCACAAATTTGGTGGCTTGAAATAAGGGGAATTTATTCTCTCACCGTGCTAGAGGTTGGAAATCTGAAACCAAGGCATCAGCCAGGACATGCTCCCTCTGAAGGCTGTAGGAAAGAATATTTTCTTGCCTCTTTCTGTCTTCCAGTGGCTCTCAGCAATGTTTGGTGATCTTTGACTTATGCATGCGTCACTCCAATCTCTACCTCCATCTTCACATTATTTTCTTCTCTGTGTATTTTTTCCTCTTCTAATAAGGACACCAGTCATTGGACTTAGGGTTTACCTGAATCTGAACTAATTATATCTTCAAAGGGCCCATTGCCAAATAATGTCACATTCTGAGGTTCGGCTGGATGTGAATCTTAGGGAGATACCATTCAACTCACAATACACACCCAGTGGCCAGAGCTAATCACATAGTCCTACCTAATGCAAGAGGACTGGGTAATACAGAAAGTTCATGGGAGATTTGGTGTTATAAACTGAGTGCTCATGTTCCTCCAAAACGTTTATGTTAAAGCCCCAATCCCCAATGTGGTAGTAATCCAAGGTTAGCCTTTTGGGAGGTAATTAGGGTTAGATGAGGTCATGACAGTGTGGTTGCCATGATGGGCTTAGTGTCCTTATAAAAGGAGAGAGAAGTTTGTCTCCTTCACATGAGGGCATCTGCATGCCAGAAAGGGTCCTCACCAGGAGCTAAATCTGCCGACACCAAGAGTTTAAATCAACAGTAATTGAGCCCAGGATGATTTCCTGATAAAGGAAGCAAAATAGTCTGCTCAATGCTCCTCAGACTGTGCAGTATTTTCATTTCTGAGAAAACTTTAGAAGTGACACTGATGAGCTGGAATTCATCCAGAAGATGACTGTAATAGTGACGAGATATGATACCCAGACATGAGAGATTTGGTTGAGGAACTAGGAATGCTTACCCTGAGAAGAAAGAACTCTGGGAGAAAGGCACAAGGGCCAACTCTGAATTGAGCAGAGATGTCATGTGGCAGAGAGAGGGCCTTATCTGCATCTAGAATGCAGAATTAAATATAATGGAAATCACAGAAAGGTAGATTTGACTTACTGTTAGGAATGCTTTCCATGGCTGTTAAAATGGAAATCATTGGCAATATTCGCAAAGTAGGTAGTTGGGACCAACAGGTCCACACACAAAATTTATGAAGCCACGGTAAGAGTACAAAGGGAGGCTCTCATACCATTCATGTGCATACATAAATGTTACAATCAAGTACCAAACTGCTAAATAAAATCCATCCTCCTGTCTTACTTGGAGATATGACTGCATAATAATCTGGAAGGCCCACTCCCACCTCATCCCATCCCTGATGAATACCACTATTCTTCAGCCTCTCTGAAGCACACGGATGCATATACCACAACTGTGGTTTACCCTCTGAAGGATGGACCCAGGTAAGCAAGCCGTAGAAGCAGTAAGTTTAAGAGGCCACTGACTCCAGATAGGCATATCCATCTGGCCCTGCCAACTCCTCACCAGGGAAGAATGCAGCCAAGGAAAGAATGCCATGGTGCCTAGGCTGGCCACATTGGTCCCGTGGCCATGGATGGGGCCCATGGACTGTCAGCAGTACCTACACATGCACCTTGCCCTGAGAAACAACCTGCTTTTGGCAGACCTCATCAGGCTTCTGGACTGTGTAGTTGACTCCAAGGAGAAGAATCTAATGAGATGTTGCTTTGAGAGCCACCGTGACTCAGTCTCCATGGCCTCTTCGCATCCTGAAGACTAGCCCAGTAGGGACAGAAAACTGGGAGCTGAGAAGCCTGGCCAATTTGAACCAGCTTCTGAAGCAGCAGCTCTCAGCCTACATCCTAGATGTAAGAGAACTCCAGGGCTGGAGTTCTCTGAAGCTTTGCCCTCAGGCAAGCAGTTACGTCTG